GATACATTGCATGCAAATTACTTTTAACGGCTGCGCTACATCTATTTTTGCAATAAGCACTTTGAAAATAATACACTATAAACATGTTTGTCAACACAATCATAAAGGCTTTTATTAAGCAAATCAAGAAGTGAATTAGTCGCCCACTGCTTTAAAACAGACGTCTGCTGGGCATAATTCAAGTTAAATGCACAATGGGAGGCACACAAACACTTGTATTTATTAAATCTTATAGAAAACAGATGATTAAGCTTTGTTCAAGTTTGGTCGTGTGTAAATTAAATGACATTTTGCTGTAATGTGGATGTAGAACACTTGTCATATATATGTCATATACTTTTGTGTACACTATTTGTTATAAATTCATTTATTTAAAACGTCAGTAGCTAGAGAGCACTACAGTGGTGAAAAGCAATTATTATAATGCACTCTATGGGGGATTAAAAAAAAATATATAAAATATTTTAAAAATATATATTTCCATGACACATTTAATACATTTACAAGTCTTTATTTTTACATGCCTGTAAACAAAAGATAAAAAGAGACTCCCCTATGCATTTTGGCAAAGACCTGAGAGGAGTTTCTTTTTATCTATTGTTTATAACTATGTAAAAATAAAAGCCTCTTAAATTTATTATGTGTGCCAGGGAAATGCTGTTTTTTGGGGTATTTATTAATTTATTGTTTTTTTTCTTTTTTGGTGAATGGATATCATTGGTTTTTGCTTCTTGTTCTTAAAATGGGAAACAACTCCTTTCAGTGGAAAACAAAAGATATTTAGCAGTTATGTTCATGCTGCTTTTTGTCCATATGAAATAAATGGGGATAGACTAAAAGTATCATGCTAAGAGTCTGTGAGATTTATGAGATATATTTCTATACTTCATCATTATATCATGCTTTGTGTGAGGAACTGGAACACTCATTGAAAATCGTCTCCTCCACTTCAGCTCTCAAATCAGATTCGGCTGTAATATGCTGCGTCACACTGCTGTAGGTACAGTGTGATGTGTGTGAGGAGATGCACATGAACCGCTGTGTGTCTGTACAGGAGGAGCAGGGCAGCGCTGACCTGAGCACAGACAAGGTTGTGTGCAGAAGATTCCATCCTCCGAGCGAGGCCTGCAGTCCTGGGCGAGACAGACGGGATCATCAGCTCCAGTCTCCAGCTCACCGCGGAGGTCAGGCGACATCTGTGTGTTCTGCTGAAGGGCCATTTACCTCAGATGTGTTCTTACACTTCAAGAGGCCGTGTCGAGTTATGTTCTGTATTCTGTTCCATTAATTCGTCCGGCTTTTTCTAAACACCCTAGCAACCATCCCCATATCACCCAAGCAACAGCCTTGCAATCACCAAGAATTCCCTAGGAACTGCATAGCAACACCCTAACAACCACATAGCAACTTTTAAACAGCAACACAGAACACCCTATTAAGCATCCTGCAATGTCCTAACAACCACCATAGTGACCTCCTAGCAAGGCTTTAGCAACAATCAGCACTCCCCTAACAACTACTCAAAATAACCTAGCATCTGCATAGCAATGGCTTAGTAAACACTTACAACACCCTAATAAACCCATAGCAACACAGAACCACCCAGAATAACCAGATAACCACCAGAACACCCTAGCAACCATCAAGGACACCCTAGCAACACATCAACACAGACCACCCTAATAAGCATCTTGCAACCAGCCAGAACACCACAGCAGCCTTCGATCACCCTGGCAACCACCCAGCACACCCTAGAAACTCCATAGCAACACCCAAGCAACCACCCAAAATGTCCAGGAAACCACCTAGTAGTGCCCTTGAAACCACACACATAACCCTAGCAAACACCCTGAACACCCTAGCAATGCAATAGCAACCACCCAGAATACACAGGTAGCCATTGTTACACCCTAGTAACTGCCTGTCAACCATCCAGAACACCCCAGCAACACCACAGCGACCTCATGATAAACTTCGAAAAAAAACACAGAACACTCTAGTAAGCATCTTACAATCAGCCAGAACACCACAGCGGCCTCCTAGCAACCATATAGATCACCCTGGCAACCACCATGAACACCCTAGAAACTCTATAGCAACACCCAAGCAACCATCCAAAATTTCAAGGCAACCACTAGCAACACTTTAGCAACCACCTAGAACAACCTAGCAACCACCTAGCAGTGCCCTTGAAACCACACTTATCAACTAACTGGAACACCACAGCAACCACCCATATCACCCTAGCAACTCCATAGCAACCACCCAGAACATCGTAGCAATTGTCTAGAAATGTATTTATCTGTCTGGTTGTGAGAGACTGGGTGGCCTTAAAACCTTTAAAGTTTGAACTATTAAAGTTTGAGCTTCTCCAAAACTTTCAAGTTAGGCTTTCTCAAGTCAACATCAAAGTTTGTCTTGACAAACTTTTTTAAAAATATATATATATATAGTTGCATGAAAAATCCCTGTGTTAATGCAAACCCATAACTAGTCACAGTTTGAACATATGTAGTTTTGCACATCTAAATTAAAGTTAAACTAACTCACAACAGAAGCTGTGGTGTAAAAACACCTGTTGTGTTCTGCTGAAATGGGCTGACGGTTTGTGTGTGGCAGATGGCAGTCAGACGTCTTCACCTCTCTTTCATCTCCCGGCTGAGTTCTTCCACCCCACCACTGCTGCAATTCCACAGGGCAGCCCAGCCATCAGAGCGGCACCGCCGGGCTCCAGACACGCATCTCCGGCCTCATGGGCTTCTCTCAGGTCCCCAGGGGCCAACAGCAGGGTCATGGGCTCTCAGGTAAGAGACGCCATATGTAGAACATGACAGATGACCGTTCAAACTCAATCAGGACTTAGAGTCCAGTGTCTGGAAACCAACAAAAGGATGAAGGGGTCTTGAGTAGACAGACTTTGACTTCAGGCATCAAGTGAGGTCCAGTTTGCAGCTTATTCTGGCCAACAATCATCCTCTTAAGGTACAGTCATATTTACCATTGCTTGGCGAAATTGAAATCCAATTATTCCAATAGGACTCCACGCAATCGTGAGTTCAGAAAAGGTTTGTTTAAGTTCAAGTTGGTCATGCGGATTCGCCGCGCTGACCAACAGAATGCTGCTTGAAAGTGACTTCAGTGTGAGCAGTGATTTAAACATGACAATAGATGATGGATCTTTTTTCCCCAGTGAAATTTGATGGGAGCCCACCTTTAGACCAGAGGGCTTGTGGATATCTCGTTTACTTGCTACTAACTGGCTCAAACTCCTAGAATGTCTTTTGAAGCTTTGAGGCTTCTGCACTGGAAAACGATGTCAAATCCAGTGACAAGTTCTTCCTCAAAAGCTTACTTTCAACTCAATACCTTGTAAACCTGGTGGACTGGTGCACCCAGACAGAAACTTTGCAGTTGTAGATCTGGGTCACTAAACACTCTCATGTCCAGATCCACGTTTGTTTCTGTTTCCTGACTCTCTTGTCGTTTATTGCTGCAGACGTCCCAGAGTAACTCCTCGCTGGCCACGGGCAGTTCGGTGAGCAGCCTGCAGACCATGCTGGAGGAGGGCATCTCTACGCTACCCCTGATCTGCAGAACCCACATTCCTCCTCCAGAACTCACCCAGAGACCTTGTACACCACAGACTCTGCTCAACCTCCAGGCCACCAGGGGGCGCCAGAGGAATCAGAGCAGATACAGTGACTGCACAAATCCTAACTTGATCCGACAGGACCCCTCCGATGAGGACACTGGATCCGGGATTAGGACTGGAGGACCCGGTCAGGCTGGTAATCTGGAACAGTTATCGGATAATCTGAGTAGCTACTCTTTGACGTCCCTGCACCCGCCTGATTCGCTGGCGCCGCCGTTGGCCAAGAAGTGCAACAGCACTGGGAGTTTAGTACTGGGGAGTCTAGCGGTCCGGAATAAAGATGGGAGGTGCCTTTATGGATTCGATCTCTGGACTGAAGCAACAAGTGAGGAAACTGAGAGGGATGCATCCCTGGTTGGCACCAAGACGTGCAACCAGACTGTAGGTTCGGGCTGCCGTAAGAACAGATGAAATGCACGTTTCAGTCCAGGTATGGGACACTGTTTGGTCTCTTCCGTGAACTCGTCTCCATGTTTATCTCAAATGACACAAATCTGTTTCCTGTTGTGCTACTGACCAGCTCAAGCTCACAGCCACAGCAACACAGTGTCTTTTCTTCTTCAGGGCATTACACTGGACGCCTCGGAAGAGATGCATGGAGTAGCGTAGAATGCTCTGGAACATGAGGAACTGAGGAAACTCATTCATTCATAGCAAAAACAGACTAGCAACCTCACCAGCCTGAGTGTGTTGCGATCTTTAGGTGACACTGGACGTGTAGCATGTGACGCGTTCAAATGCAGAAAGGTGGCGTACGATGCTGCGTTCATTTCATGTTGAAATTATTGCCGTTACAAGTGCTGTGCTTGAGAAAACCATTTTCTCCTAAAAGCATCTAATCTTCCTTGAAATGAGACACTGTAGAGGATATGACTTGTTTTTCAGAGAAAATTGTTGGCAAATAGTTTAAAGCATAAACAAAATTTACGTTCTACTGATTTTTTTTCCCCGAAGGATGTTTTGATGCTTGTACTGGGAAACGAGTCAAAATACTGAAGTGAAGTGCATCCGAAATCTGATAGCGTTTAAATACTACATTTGATGAGGAATATGTACTTTCTTTATGTTCTTATATCATTAGCTATGTTTCCATTAACCTATTTTTTTGTGCAATTTGGATTATCGCATAAAAAACCTGCTGGATGGAAACGTCAAGATGCGCATAAATTCTTAAAAAACGTATGCACACAACTGAGAAGGATAAACTTTTTATCCGATAAGAAAAAATGCGTATAAACTACGATGGAAACACATTTACTGAATAAATTCCACGTGCGCATTGAAAAAGTCATGTGACTTTGCGCTATGAGACGGGATAACTTGACTAACCAGCGGACCGATCTCGTTCACAGCATCTATATGTTGTTCTGGTCGTTCTGAAATGCTTGAGGAAAGTCTGTCATCAAAGTATTTCTGTATAATTACGATCTTACACGACTGCGTTCCCAAACATCAGACAACCACCTCTAAAAGCAATGACTACATTTATCATGTTACGTCTGCTCTCCCTGAAGCGCAAGTAATTTATTACATATGGAAATTATTATATTCAGTGGCTTCTCCTAGTTTTCTTAGAGATATTTAGTGCCAGTTTATCAGGAAGTGACGATTTGTTCTCTTTGACTCGTTGGATGGAAACGGTGCTTTATTTTCAAATGTTTTATGCGATATTCCAGTTTTGCGCATAAGTTAAATTTGCATCTTTGGATGGAAACATAGCTATTGTCTGTAGTATGAATGCAATCCGGACGTACTTTACCTCATGTTGCCGCCATTCAAAACTACTCATGGGATTGTAAACTGTCCACTAGTAGTAGGTACTTTTTGCCTACTGTTTTACGAGTTTGAACATACTACTCATTTCAGATGCTGTTTTATAGTAGGGAAATATTCTGATGCACCTGACTTTTTTGCAGGGAACTGGCAAATTATGAAAGCTCTGATATTTGTGTAAAAATTTTGGCAGTCAAATGTAATTTGGCAACTTCAGAGTGCTGCAGCTGTGACGTCAAAACCCAGACGGTTAATTCGCCTCTGGTTCTCTAACAGTGGCTTTTACTTCATTCTTATGCAGCAGTATTGAGATTTAGCAGCCGCGCACAGATCATTAGATCATTATAAAGGAAAGATCTGAGGAAACATCTCAAGCCCAAACCACGACACACACACACTGAGTGTTGGAGATGGTTGAGGCTCTTCTGTGGGTTTTGTTCTTGGTTGTTCTGTGTTTGTAGTATAATGGTGGTAGAAGCAGAAACATGAACCCTGATCCTAAACCCAGTGAGCTGCCCAGCTAGACAACGTTTTAGGGTTTATATCTTCTCAAGAAACTGTGAAAGAATACAACAACGATGGAATTGGTCCAAGTTTTATCGTCCAGCAGGGGAATATCTTGCATCTGATTATCAGAACATACTATAGCGTACATGTCATTCGCATAGGTGTAATTTATGGGCGGGATTATGCTAATTGTGAATGAACGTACATGTGCACCCTATTTATGAATGATTGGAATTCATTAACATACGTTTATCAAATCTTTATTTTTAGAAGAATTTGTGACTCCAGAGGAGAGTTTTTGGAAAGATTCCTTTAGATTCATGTATTTTTGTGCTCATTATGATGTTGAGCCGTTAGCTGACCATTGTGGAGTTTGTTTCAGTTCATTTCAATCTCTAATGAAGGTTAAATGAAGATCCCTATGTAGACAGCGAGGTCGCTCACTAGGGTTTGGATTAGAGCTGATGTTTGTCTCTGGAAATCATGCATGAGAGATGATGTAACTATACTGTGAAGATGGCAAAAAGTGATTTATTTTTAAGGTATTAAGTGAAATTTAATTCTTTTACTTGCGTAGTTTTGTGTCAATCTCTGTCTTCCACTTTGCATTTTGTACAAGCGTCTCCCTTAAAATGTTGAATGTTTCTGACCTTTAATGAGATGCTGAAACGCTGGCAGATCGGTGAAATGATTTTACTGATTTTGTTTCTCATTTGCACAGCTGATTTGTTTGTAAAGGACTCTCAATGCACATTGATTTGCATGATTGCATCTAAATTTATGTAGACTTTAGTGTCCTTATTCCAAAACTCCTGCTGTGATCGAATCATTCCCACTGGATCTACAGCGCTGGAAAAACTGGGCAAATCAGTCACAAAGTCATTCATTGCTCAGACCTAAAAAAAGTTATATTTTTAAGCATTTTTAACAATATATGACATATATATTCACCTCCAATATTTATGCATTTGCTTTGAGACCGTTCTTTAGTACTATTTTTTTCAACTAAACCGTCATTGTTCCCAGAAGAAGCTTTAGTTCAAATAATCAAGGCCTGTTTTCCACACTGTTTTTCACTAAATGAACACAAGAATGATATTTAATACATGAACTGAACAATGCATAGCAATACAGACCGTGTTAAATGGCACACATGACTTCAGTGAACATCTTTGAATGATGAATCATCTGACTGTTTTGAATCGATTCATTGAAATGGAGCGTTCAGAAGTGATTCGTGTAAATGTACTGAACTCGATCAGTGTTTTTGCTCTTCAAGTTTAAACTCAAGACTCTGTTCATACATCTCTGTCTTGAAGCTTGCATACTTGCAGATTAAGAGCAAATATTAAGCATTTAAACCATTCCAATATTTACACAATTTAGTTTACTTATTGCCAATGAAATGATATAGTAAATATCTTGTCTCCTGCCCAGCCGTATGTCCAGTTTTCCATTTAGATGAAACTGAATTTGCTTTGATTCTTCTGGAGTTTAGAGGAGTTTCATGCATTTGCCATGTGCTGCATTCACAATCCTAATAAAGTGTCTGAAGTGCTTTACTGATGTCAGTGACTCAGCAGAGGTTTGGTTATAGCATGGGTAGTTAATCACAGTGACCGTGTTAAATGGCACACATGACTTCAGTGAACATCTTTGAATGATGAATCATCTGACTGTTTTGAATCGATTCATTGAAATGGAGCGTTCAGAAGTGATTCGTGTAAATGTCCTGAACTCGATCAGTGTTTTTGCTCTTCAAGTTTAAACTCAAGACTCTGTTCATACATCTCTGTCTTGAAGCTTGCATACTTGCAGATTAAGAGCAAATATTAAGCATTTAAACCATTCCAATATTTACACAATTTAGTTTACTTATTGCCAATGAAATGATATAGTAAATATCTTGTCTCCTGCCCAGCCGTATGTCCAGTTTTCCATTTAGATGAAACTGAATTTGCTTTGATTCTTCTGGAGTTTAGAGGAGTTTCATGCATTTGCCATGTGCTGCATTCACAATCCTAATAAAGTGTCTGAAGTGCTTTACTGATGTCAGTGACTCAGCAGAGGTTTGGTTATAGCATGGGTAGTTAATCACAGCCTCTAACGGTTTTGTGTGGACTCAGTGGTTGATCCGGTTCATTGATGTCTGTCAGAACGGTGAGGAATCATTTCATGAGTCTGATTTTAGGGTGAATGGTTCGTTTAAGTCTCCCTTCAGATGAGATCTTAATGAGCTGTGAGAGGATGAAGTTCTCCGTGAGATCTGTATTTTCATCGCACATGAATCCAAAGCACTGACGCTGGTATCGATCGCCACTTCATGCCCAAAGTAAGTACCAAAATAATGTATCATGGAAAAGAAAATCCATTTATAACTAATAAATTATGATATTGAGTTGGTTGGCTACTACTGTGTTATTACTATTTTTTCTTTCTAAAATGCATTGATCTTGGCTTGAAAATAGCTATGGATGGATGAAGTTTATTTATTCATATTGCCGCAAAGAAAAACTCAACAGGCGTGTTTTTATACAATAAGATCGTATTAGTTAATATTAATGCATTAGCTAACGATTGCTATTGATAATGAAAGTACATTTTAAAATTGTGCATTATGTTAGTTGCATTTAACTGATGTTAACAGATTAACTTTTGATTTTAAAAATGTATTTGCAAATGGTGAAATTAACATGATTAAGATTAATAAATGCTGTTCATTGTTAGTTCATGTTAACTGACGTAGTTAACTGATAATAGCAAATGAGACCTTATTGTAAAGTGTTGTTGTTTTTAAATGTCTTTTTATGCAGTTAATTCACCACACGCATCGTGATAAACAAAAACAGTTAATAATTCAGATTTTTTATGTTTTTGAAAGAAGTCTCTTCTGCTCACCAAGGCTGCATTTATTGATCAGAAAAACAGTAATATTGTGAAATATTATTACCATGTTTTCTACTGTAAATTATTTTATAATGTAGTTTATTCCTGTGATGGCAAAAACATTATAAAATCTCAATTATCCCAAACACTTTTTAAACCTTGTTTACTGTAGTTGTGCTCATGGTTTTTGAGAATGAGGCTGTTTCTTTATTTTCTTGTCCTAACTAGGTATGATGATATATTAGGTTAAACTGAATCGTGTGTCTTGATCAGAACAGAGCAGACTGATGTTCTGCTGACCTGAGAGCTGATCAGAGGAGCAGACGGACGCAGCAGGTGTGTGTGTGTGTGTGTGTTTCTGTCCACATCTGCTGCTGGACCGTGAGCAGACAGTCTCATTAGCATATGCTAATGAACTAGCAGAGGCCACAGCGGGAGCAGCAGTCACTGTTTGTCTGGTCGAGTTTGAACAAGAGCAGAGCAGATCTGCCACCTGTGTGTGTGTGTGTGTGTGTGTGCGTGCTTTTGTGACAAATGAGGACATAAATTTGTATAATGACAAAGGTATGACATAGGTATTACAAGGAGCAGGTGACTTTTCAGGACATTACCCCATGTCCCCACTTTTCAAAACGCTTATAAATCACACAGAATGGAGTGTATTGAAAATCTGAAATAGCAGAAAGTCTCCTGTGAGGGGTAGGTTTAGGGGTAGGGTTGGTGTAGGGCAATAGAATATACGGTCTGTACAGTATAAAAACCATTAAGCCTATGGAGAGTCCCCACTTTTCACAAAAACAAACCTGTGTGTGTGTGTGTGTGTGTGTGTGTGAGTTTGTGTGTGTGTGTGTATTTCCTCAGTTCACTACATTAAATTGAGCAGTGAGCAGCGGTCAGAAATGCCCACGACGGCCATCAGCACAGTCCTCAACGCTAGTAATAACATCGTGGTCAGTGTTCACTCCTCCAGTGTGTGTGTGTGTGTCTCTCTCTGTGTGCGTGTGTGTGTGTGTGTGCACGCTGCAGGTCCATCAGCTGTAGATGCTCAGTGTCTGATTCAGTCTGTCTCTCTGGATTTACTGTGACATGATGAGATAATGGCTCAGTGTGAGTGTGATCTGCTCTCTTCAGTTGTTTGTATCTAATGGTCTTGTCTCTCTCTCTCTCTCTCTCTCTCTCTCTCTCTGTGTGTTCATCTGACCTTAAGCTGATCGATTGATTCTATGTCAGAGTTACCAGAGTTTTGATTCTGAGAATCTATTCCAGTACACGTGACTCCTAATGAAAGACACTTAAAAATAAAATTAAGTAAAATACCAATTTCATAATTAAAATAAACTGGAAATAAAGAGTTGTTGTCTAGTCAGGTAGACATGAAACTGAGGTAAAACTAATACTCTAAATAAGTACAAAAATAAAAATACAGTTGCAATTGATTTTTTTAATGCACTCAGTTAGAGATGGCACTTTCTGATGTCATGTTGATTCTCCAGATGAAGTATGCACTTGTTCAGTCAGTCTAGTCTTGACACACATCAGCTTTCAGCTCTGAAAAACTACTTAATACTGAGTTTTACAGATGTTTACAATAAGAGCTCCCGATTCAATTTGAATTTCAATTTACTTCTATAATTACAGCTCGCTGCTGTGCACCGACAGCGCTTTAATTAGACACCATGATGGCGCTCAAACCGGCTGGAAGTCGACAGCTCATAACACTCAGATGTACGCCAGTGCAGAGATTCATAATTAATATCATTGCATGCAATATCTGCATTTATAAGAGAGTTATGATTTTAACACAATGGAACGATGTCCCCGAACGAGGAGAGAATGAAGGAGCTGTTCAGAGAGACTGAGGTTTCAGCTTCAGATGTTCAGATTCATATTGTGTTGCATGAGATTGGGAGAAAAAAACAACACAAAAATAGGTCAACACACGCACATGATTTATGATGAATGAGAACAATCTGCCCCAAACCACATTATAATTACTGCAGTTCAGTGATGAGCACAAACTGAAGTCGAGCGGTGAATCAACATGAATCTTTTAGTATGTTGTGACAGAAAATGTGATGAAAGAGCCTGATGGCAAATGGCATATGTTTACTTCTATATTAAAGTAATAGTT